CATGCAAAATTTATGGTGATTTATAGTAGTGACCGCAAAAGGTAGGTGCAAAGCAACAACATTCATGCAGTTAATGACCTGAGTACTTCAAGCTTGCTGTAAAAACGCATGATCGCACGGGTCCGCGTGGTGCGTTCTACTATGGGTTAAATCTACGCTCACATGTGCGTAGATCTCGCGTATGAACCCCTGAAAAAAATATGTACATTTCTTTGGCGGAGAGCGATTCTGTGAACCGGACGTGATAGACCCAGGCTGAAACGGACCGGGCGGTCCCGTGCGATCATGCGTTTTTGCACGGTCATTAACTGTATGAATGGCTGTTGCTTTACACCTACCTTTTGCGGTCACTAGCATAAATCGCCATAAATTTTGCAAAGTAAATGTACAATTTCCATTTAACGGTCGTCTTTAAATGTACCTAATTGTTCAGTGAGAAATTTTTCTCGTCTAGACTTTTAAGTGCCCGTGCGTAAGAACCACGCATACCTCAAGGCTGAATTTGAAATACTTAAGTTGTACTTGGAAAGGGAACATTTCTTCAAAATTTCGGCTTCCTAGCTTTTCTGGTTGCCGAGTTAGTAATTTTCCTGCAGAAACTTTCATACGCCCTTATGTGAGTACCACGCATACCTGGAGGCTGAATTTGAAATATTTGAGTGGTGCTTGTATAGGAAACATTCACTCAAGGTTTCAGCTTTCTATCTTTCCGGATACCCAAGTTAGCAATTTCCCCCCTAAAATTTTCATACGCCCTTACGTGAGTGCCACGCATACCTGGGGACTGAGTTTGAAATCTTTAGCTAGTACATGCACAATGGATATCCCTGCAGAGTTTCACCCCCTTAGCTCGTGTGGCTCCCGAGATCGCTTTCCAGCCAAAAAATTTGCATATTTTTTTAAAGCGTCCGTACGCGGCACCCAGGCGTCCGAGGGGATGAAATTAAACGGGAGGGTCGCGCATGGTATGGACATAGACTCCAAAGTTTCAGCCTCCTAGCTCTTCTGGCTCTCAAGTTGAAAATGGGTGATAAAAAGTGTGAGCACACAAACACACACAGGCAGCCTTTTCCCAATATGCGTTTTTGCAATTTGCACATATGCAAAAACGCATAAAAACCGAAATTCTGCAGGGATATTCTCAGTGCGTGTATGAACCGAAGAATTCAAGTGCAGTTATCGTGCATTTTTATCGCACGTATAGTCACATCAAATTTCACGGTTGGTACTGCGCCAACTCAAAAATTAAGGAGGATACGGCAATATTTGCTGATTCTGTCAGAACATTTATTGTTTATATGAAAATCGTGTACCAAAATTGATTTTCGAATTGCACTTGCGCCACGACTTAGAACGTGTAACGAAGTGGCTATTTCGCTTACCAGACAAACTGCGAAGCTGAAACTTGGCAACGATGCCCTATGCTCCCGTGTGATCTCAATTCAATGTGGAGATATAATTTTCTGCACGTAGACATGACAAATACTCAATTTTATCGCAAACTCAAAAGCGAATGCATTTTGCAGATTTCACTATCCTCTTCTGACTTCTTTCAAATTTGCATTTTTTCAAGGAACGAGCATTCACGGAAAAACGACCGGGTCCCATGTAAACCCAGGCTGGAACGCACCAGGCAAGCTGGTGCGATCATGCGTTTTTGCACCAGGTTTGAAATAATTAGGTTAACTGCATGAGTGGTTGTTTTTCTTTACACCTGCTTTGTGCTCTCAATACTGTAACTCATCGTAAATTTTGCATTAAAAAAAATAAATATCCGTTTAGCGGTCGTTTTTTGAAAATGACTCAGCCGTTCAATGAGTAATTTCCCGCCGAAAATTGAAGTGCCAGTGCGCGAGAGCCACGCATGCCTGGAGGCTGAATTTGATAACTTTAAGTCGTAAGTGAATTGGGAACATTCGCTGAAAATTTCAGCTTCCCATCTTTACTAATTTCCGAATTAGCCATTTTCCCGCCAAAAAATTTCGCGGGGCCGTACGTGAGAACCGCGCATACCTGGGGGATGAATTTGATGAATTTTAGTCGTACATGAGCTTGGAACATTCCCTGAAAATTTCAACTTCCCAGCTTTGCTAGTTCCCGAGTTTTTTCCCGCCGAAAAATCTCACGGGGCCGTACGTGGGAACCACGCGCACCTGAAGGCTGAATTTGAAATCTTTGAGTTATACTTGGACGGGGAACATAACTTCAAAATTTCAGCTTCCTACCTTTTCACGTTCCCGAGTTATTAATTTTCCCGCCAAAACTTTCCTCCTCTCGTACGCGGAGCCTAGGCGTGCGTTAGAGATGGACCGCGGTTCTGGGGTAGAACATGGCCGGGGTACCCATTAGCAAAATCTCGGCGCTGGAACTTGCTTGGTTGCCGAGTTGAAATACCCGGACAGACGAACACACGCACACATACACACATACATACACACACACAGATGGGGTCGTCTCAATATGCGTTTTTGCAATTTGCATATAGGCAAAAA